GACATACAGCAGATAAAAAAAGGTATTTCCCAAAAGCTTATTAGCCTTCTCCTAGACCACATTATCTTCTGTTTTCCAGAAATCAGAAGGAATTTGCCACAACAGCTGTGTACTCATGAGCCTCGGTACATGACTCCTATGTTGTAAGTAACTAGAAAAATGGGTCTCGCTTTTGCCTGACTGCGTCATCGTGTTTTGCCTGCAATGTAGGAAGCAAAAGATGTTGCACTGAACATTCGCCTCTCCTCTCTAACACACCAAATGTAAATTATTTGTCTCCACTTCCAAGGCTTTTTCTGGCCTACCTACTTTCCTACTTGTTAACTCTCACTTAATCTCAAGAGGGTGTAACTCCCATCTCTGGTCAAGCCACGTCTGTCCCCCTTGCCTTCCATTAAACAAAAACCCAGCTTTGGGCTTGGTCTCATGCTGCTCTCACACTTGTGAGGATGTCTCTGAAAGCATCTGCAAGAAAAACTCATTATCCTCTTTCAGACAACAAAACAAAACGAAAACACATCATAAGCCCACTGGACTGCCATTAATCATAAGCACGCCACAGCTGTAACAAGGTTCACACAGCTCAAGTGTCATTTTTGAATTGTCATGGTAATGTTAATTCTTACCCAGCATTATATAACGAACATCTCACACATATGATGAGACCCAGCAAAGCCCTGCATCTCTGTCTTCATCATTACAGATTTGTCCTCCAGCTGTTATAACCGCTTCTGTATTTTTCATCTGTATTTCTTTGCAAAATGTGTATGGAGGAAGATTCTTTTGTAAAACTTGTTTTTACTGTGTATCACTGCTGTCTGCATGTTGAGCACTTCTGCATTGTTGTGACTGCCTTCACATTTACTGTAAATAAATCTGGTCTCTCTGGTATCTTTACCTCTCTGTTCTACCTTTATGCTGCTGAACTAGATGCATTTCTGGTTTTCACAGCTTGTTAACACTGATTTTGTAAAGCATATTTTTTCCCCAAAACCTATTTCTCTCTGGTAATGACTTTGTTCCGACCAGGCGATGAGCCGTATCATAAATAATTTGATCAATCTGTTAACTGTTCAGATGTTTGTTATTTAATTTTACGACATTTATCTGTAACAGAATGCTCTAATGTTTCACACAACAGTTACCTTCTCATGTTCCTTTCTTGTGTGACAGTCCCTACACCGATGACGGTAGTCATCACATTCATCCAAGTCATTTCTGATCCCTTTCATGCTTGCTTTAGCACAGTTGAGAAGAACTTGCAAGCACACTACTGGGTAAATCTGTGCCTTCTCCCTCCTAAATCTATCCAGGCAGTGTAAGTATACCTATGGCTTACAGTCTGTGTGTGTGTGCAACGCGTGCATGCACGCATGCAGGTTTAAAGGCACAAGCACTAAATGTAAACCATCAGCTGCTGCCAGCAGGTTGGGAGCTGTCAGGGAAGCAGCTGACAGTCAATGGGAGACTCACACCAACTACAGCAGGAGGACCCACGACATTGCTCTTCAGGGAAGGGCGAGACTGTATTACAGGATGGCCAGGCACAGGATGCTCCAGTGTTTTCTTACTCCCTCTATACTTCTATAGTAAACTGTCAATCAGGGGTAGCGTAACAAACTTGGTAGGTTAAACTATTATGGTAATAAAATAATTGTGAGCAGACTATTTAGGTGAATAACAAATGATCCTATAGAAGCCGATGCTCTTTGCGTGGTCAACTTAAAAAAATTAATTGTCTGACAAGCAAAAGAGCAAGAGTGAACATCACTCTCTAGAACTCGGTAGCCACTCTAGATGGCTAAAATATGCACTCCTGGCAGGGAAGCAACAGGGTTCCCAGCTCTGTTATAAACACTGGTTCCCCATGAGAACTGATAATGAGATAGTGAAGTTCTGCAGGACCAGCAGGCCTATAAAAAAAACCAAGCAAAGACAGCAGAAAGAAAAAAAAAGAAAGCAAAGACAGCAAATGGGCACCATGTCTGTTTGCAGAGGACATGCAAGAATTTTAAATATGTGTTCCTAGAGCAAGATGCCAAAGCTCCTCTTATTAGACTCTATGCAATTGACTTAACCTTCAGAAATGCTCCAAACTGGGACTTTGATGTGCTTGGTTCCTTTGAAAATGATGAGGGATGCTTAACTGGCAAAAATGAACTAGAGTCCTTTATTAGTCAGGTAACCTGAGTCAAAATACAGGTATAACCAAGCTGCATACATGAATTTTTGACACTTCTAGAAAATAATGTGTTTGGATTAGAGATAAATCTTGTTAGGTGTGATCCTGCACATCCAGGTCCCGTTCATTTTCCACCTGAACTCTTCCTATTAGTTGACAAACATCTTAATCATTTTGCCCAAATCTACTGGAAATAAAGGTGTAAAAAAAACCCACAAAACTGTTGCACTCGTAAGTCAGCATTTTGCCAAAAATGTTGTACCCTTCAGAAGAAAGCTCACATAGTCATCTAAATATATAAAGGTACCATAAATGTAAACAGCTTCCTAATCTTTTTGCTTAAGCATTCCCCTGAGATGAGAGAACTAATAGTCCTTGTAATTACCAGGGCAGAAAATATAACAGCAGATGTCGTTTCTTCACTAATTGTCTAAAGCTCTTAGAAATTTACAAAATGATTTATCTCACTAAGATTCTTTGCTATGAGTTCCATAGATTAATTATCCATTACACTAAATGCAATTACCCCTTCTTGACCCAAGCAGTGAGCAGCAATTGAGGGTCCTAAGGTGGTGGTGGTGTCACTGAGAGGAAAAAACTATTGATGTAATCCTGTTTGTCCACATAGAATGTGCAAACTCTTAATTCTCTGAGAACAAAAGGAATCAAACACATGGAGGTTTGGGGGTTTTTTTGTTAGCAGCAAATTGAATAGCTCTCTTTTCTGCTTTGTTGTTTCATTTTGTTGTACTCTGCCTTCCCAAAGACCTACTTTTTTTTTTTTTTCTTGTTCTGACTGTGTCTCTGGCTCCCTTTTCTTTGTGTTTGATTCTGTTATCCTTGTTATGCTTCTTTCTCATACCTAGACATCTACACTACCAAAAAAATCAGTACCCAGCCTCTCTGCTTGCCAGTGAGACTTCTTGGGTCGTGAGGTCAATATCATCTCATATTTTGCTTTGAACCTGTGATTGGGTGGTGCATCTTTTGTCTCAAGTTGCTGATTCCTCTGAGAAGCTTGGCTGCTTTTCACGGTCTAGCTGAACAGAAAGCAATCATCACACCCACCAACATAACCATATCACAGCAGTTCCAGTTGCCTTTTTTAACGTTTTCAACTTCCAGAGCATGTTTTATTCTTGTATTAAATAGAAATGGTCTGCTTTCCTTTTTACCATCTACTCTTCTACTTTCTGACGTCTCTTGCTCTATTCTTTCTTTTCCAAATATGCATCTCCTCATCTTGTAGACTTCTTTCCTCCAGTGAAATCTCATTAGTGATTTTTACTTATGCTATCTTTGTGACACTTTTAGGTGTCTTCTTTTTGAGATGATTAGGAAAACTGAGTGAACCCACTATTTAAAGAGAGAATATGCTGTCCCTATATAGCCAACTATTATTTTCTTTTCTCTCCTCTTTATACCATCTCCAGGACTATTTGCTTTTTGGATTTTCATTGGAAGTTTAGCTGTGATTCTATAACATAACAACATACAATAATAAACCACTATTAATAACTCACAGTCTTTTATCTTCTCCACATCTTCCAGAAGTCCTCCTTATAACTCAAGTATCTTCTTATTCCTACTGCAGCAGTTTCTTCTCCATACATTCCCATGCTTGTTGCAGGACCTAATTCCCAACATGCTGCTCTAGCTGGAGCCCCAGAGAGCAAATAAGTGAACTGGTTCCACGATGCGTATCACCTAGCATGGACATACACTGGGAAAGTGCTTCCCATATCATCATTTAGGACATACAGCAAAACTGATAGAGCTAAATTAGCCATTCCTCCTCTCTACCATACAGCTACAGCTTCAAGACACCAGAACTGTGCAGAATTTACTCAGTCACAGAAGGATATGGCTACATGATATGGACTCTGACACCAAACTCTATCACCCTCTGTATGAGGCACAGATATGTCAGGAAAACACAAACATTTATGGCTTTATTCTCAGAACGATGATGGAGAACACTTAATGTTTCTACCTTTAATGAAAAGGAACTATGGATGTTCAACATTGTGGACAAATTAGCTTTACCCATAGAGATGGTAAGGAACTCTATGTGCATTTGAGGAGCAGAAGAGATGGCATGATTCACCTTTCAATGATCACATTTCTTTCAGCCTAGACACTGTATTTACAACCTTTCAGTTCATAAAATTCATGTGAGTGATATTTATGTCTTGTTTATCCGAGTGTTTACATATTAAAATATTGTCAATTATCAACAACGACAGTGTGTCTGTTCCTCCTCTGGAGCCAGAAAGCATTAATAGGCTCACTAGCAGTGTTATTAATGATTAATTAATATGTGTGCCAATAAAGTTGACACCCATCAGCTAATAATAGTTTCCTTTTAAGGAGGTAAAGATGAGATTTAGGAACTCAGGTGAAATGTGAGACCCAGGGGTTGAAGCCCTGGGTCTGTTAAATACCAGGTTTTTTTCTAATCCAACAGTTGCAAATTAGTTAGGGTTTATAAATGAAAAAAAAACCCAAACAACAAGAAGATAGTTGACTTTGAAGAAATGCCTAAAAAGAAGCAACGCAATATCAAGGCAAGTGTTGAAGATTTAAGTTTTCTAAACAGCAAACCTTGGTTTACCTTGTGGGACGTTTTTGTATCCTTCACATCCCACCTGTTTATATATCCACTTTATTTTTACATGACAGGTAGCACTGACTCCCTGTGCAGTACTCTCTAAGAATCACACAGAGAAACTAGTCTTTTCAGAGCTCAATTTCCCAACCTCCGTGGGGAAATTTTATTTTCATGCCACCTTCTACGATTCGGACCACGACAACTAACAGAGCGCGCAATCGACACGTACTCGGTAGTTGGCATTTACAAAGCGCAACAAATCCGCCATCCGTGATGGTGGAAAAGCACGC